AAAACCAAACAGGAGCCTGAGAAGGTAAAGAGTAAATTCAACCCATGGAGTAAAGTCAAATAAGAAGAACAAAAATGTTTAAAGTATATACACAGTCCATATTTTAAACAAGGGATGGATAAAATGGATAAAATATTTCATTAACTTTCCACTACTGTGAAAAGACAGAAGGAAATGATTATGTCCTGTGGATATACAACCAAGCCTTCCAAACATGTTTACATTAATCCGTATTAAACATGTCAAATACATGTCTTTCTCACAAAAATCAGCTCTTTCTGACCTTCATAACTTCTGTCAACGACCGCAACAAAAAAATTAGGCATCTGTTGAAACAACACACAAACAAACAAAATCAATGAATATAGGATCTGCCACTCTCCCCAAAAACTGAGGCCATTATCTCCACAGTCATATAGGAAGAAGACAAAAGAAAACAATCCTGGTTGTCAAATTCTGGAGATTTCTCCCTTGCAATGACTTTCTTGCAGTGTCCTTGAAACATACCACATCATTCCTGCTTCTATACCTTTACTTGAGGCATTAGATTTCTTCCCACCCAAAACTCCTTTCTGACTGATTCTGGCTGTCTACATTCTGCGCTATTCAGGAAGTCCTAAGGTCTTAGCTCAAACTGCATCTCATCCATGAAACCTTCCCTACAATCTCCAGTCCATATGGCACTTCTCTGCTGAAGTCCTAACAGACAACACACTTGTCTTTTTTTCACTTTCTGGCATTTAGTCATTTTCATTCCTACTGGGAACCTGGCCTGTACCCCTACAAAATGGCATCGTATCTAAGCTTTCACAAAGCCCTGGAATAGCAGAGTGGTTAAGTGCTTGGATTCAGGACTTCCCTTGTGGCCGGGTGGTTAGGACTCTGAGCTTCCACTGCAGCTGGGGCAGGTTCCATCCCTGATCAGAGAACTAAGATCCTGTGAGACAGAGGCCAAAAAGTCTTAGCCACTGGACAAACCAAGGAACTCCCACCTATCTTAAATAGATACTTAAGTATTAAATAAGCTAACATGTAAAGTATTTAGAACAGCATGGTAACAGTACAAAATAGCTTAGTACAAAATAACGTAAGCTAATGGTTACCCATTTTCCTTGTTCCAGGTCACTCTACATATTGCTTTATCACTCGTAAATTATGGTTTGGTATGTCAGTGCTCTGCACAGAATTCTCCCTGTCTTTCCATAGCCCATGGGTCCATGTCCTTGAAAAATAAATAAAGGCACTCCACAACTTGTCTCCACACTCTCTACTCAGCTTCAGTTACTCAACATCTACTTCATAAGAAATAAAAGCAGACAGACACATAAGGCAGAGACCCTCTTCTCCAGGGTCTGACAACTAATCACAAAAACAAGGCACAAACGTGAAAACTTACGCACAACGAACGTTCTCTCACAGCTATCACAGCAACTCTCCAAAAGGACCCTTCAGTCCAACAAAATGCATTTCCTTGTCTGTTTTATTCCACCTTCATCCTCTCATACACAAACACAATCCAGAAAAGCATCTTCTCTTCACCTGTACCTATTCACTCCTACTTTAACATCTCAAATACCATCATTCTCTTGCCATTTAAACTTAAATAATACTATCTTATCTCAAATCAACTGTTCTGAAGTTTAGTCACCCTCTCGATCTGAAATATAAACTCCTAAAAAGGGGTAACAATTTCTCACCAATTCTTACGATTTTTCTCGCCCTTCCCTCACCCACCACTATGCCTTCCACTCAAACATATCATGATAGAAGAGGTGCTCAAGAATGTGCCAAATATAAACTTAAAAAGTGAAACTGGAAGTAGACAGCTACTACTAGTGCTTACTACTTGGTAAACTACAGTGAGACGAAACAGACACTGTGTCAACCTTCAGACTATCACTGGTTCACAAAGGTTCAAATCAAACAGGGCCATCCAAATCAGGAGGCTGTCCTGATCTACTAGCTCTTCTATGTAACCAACACATGGACAGATTTGCTTGCTCAATGGTACCTTGAGTCAACAGAAAAATTATAACATGCTATTATCTGCCATCTAATTTGAAGAGTCTGACCTCCAAAAAGGAGTGAAAGATGATACACAGGGCCGGAATCCAAGCTGGGCAATATCCACCTGCTACATCACTGAGTAGATGATTTGGGGAAGCTTATTAAATTCCACTTTGTGCCAAACCTGTCACCAGGTTTTAAATACCATTAAAACATTGCATGAACTTAGCATTAAAAAGTGTCACCGAGCTCTCCATCTGTCTACACTTTGCAGATTTCCTACAATAAACATGTATTGCTTGACTAATCAGGAAGTTTTAAGTGATTATTATTTCTTTCAGCTTTTAAAGGTCTTCCCTTAATGGCAAATGCAGAATGCAACACTCATAAATTGAAAGTCAACTAAAGGGCCTATTACCCCAATTCTCCACATCCCAGGTAAGTTGCCAATTTGGACAAAATTGTCAACTTCGTGTGTTTCAATTTAAAAAATTACTTCCACACATGCCATCACATGAAAGAAAAAAATGCCACACTACCTTCCTAAGATTCCAGAGCACTACAGCAAATTGCAAAGACCTGCCTAGATGGTTCCCTCTTCTCTCCACTCCAAACACCCTCTTCTCTAAGGACTGAGCCCTTATTAAGGGCAAGCACCAGGGTGCTAAGTGATTTACATGATTATGTGAATCGTGAAAACGACAGATACTATTATTATCGCCAGAAGAGAAACCTGAAGTTTAAAGCAGGTTGAGGAAAAACAAACAAACTTACCTGAGGCAATTCTTACAGAAGGAGGGGATTCTAGTATTACACAAAGAAATTTGTTGGGAATATATATTAGGCCCTGGAGACTTTTGTTATGATACAATTATTACAAATCCTTATAGGAGAAATTTCATACGGAGAAAACAGTGATACTTGGTCAAACTGTGGGTTTTCTTTGTAACTATGTACCTCACAATATATGGCACAGAACAGCTGCTCAATAAAAACCTACTGTCTGTTCAAACCTAAATTTTAAGTAGTTAATTCCTAGAACAATTTGATCACACAGCAAGATCTGACAGGTTATTTGTTTTAACTAGATTAGGTGATACCATAATCAATAGTTATATCTAACCGTGAAGTAAAGGCCTCACATCCTGAGTATGTTTTAGCTAATAAAAGCAAGAAATAGAAAGAAAATTCAAATGGTAGAAATAAGCTGTGATCCTTTAAGATAAGGTTTTCTAATAAATTCCATTCAAAAGTTTAACATATATCACTTTATACAAAAAACACTTACTATTGATCTATTCTTGGTCATCTCAAAATAACCGATTTTGCAGGTTTTAGTATAACCATGAAAAGCACTGCTCAGGTAATCACTGTTTTTCAACTAAGTAAAAGAAAAAATCTGAGCCTCCTTTAAGTACTGAATCAGAATAAAGAAGGTGCATGTGCAATGTACTTTAAGCAAACTTATTATCTGATTAAGTTGCACCTTAATTGTTACCCAGGGACATAAAAAGACAAAAATGTAAAAGGTGGTTAAGGCAACTAGCTGGTAACTGCTGTCTGAATTTGTCTGCTGGAAAGATGAGTTCTTTAAATAACTACGGGTAATCTATGAGGTTTTTCAGGCACCCAAACTTTAGTTCCCAGGGAGAAAAAAGAATCTGTTCCACAGGTAAGGAGCATCTGGTGTTACACAGAAAAATAACATACTTTTTAGTTCTCATCCTACATACAGAGTAGGATATAGATATTATGCAAGCACAGAGCACTTGGGCAATCTTTTCCTCCTGTGAACAACGATTTATATAATAATTCCTTGATTCAGGAGTATTGCTTTCTCTCTTCCTTTTCAGGCTCAGGTTTCCTTTATTTCAAAACACAACTCTTCTAAAAGATTTAAATTCTTCTTTTAAAAAAGACTTAATCATTAAACTCAGAAAGAGGGTCCAAAAAGTCAAGAGGTAAAACCGGAGATATTATTTGTCTTACATAACTTATTCTAAGTTGGAACTGATTCAGTAGCTTAACTAAAACTTGAAATTTAAGCACAAAGATGAGCTCTGTAGTGTATTCTCCACATACAAAGATAGTTCTAAAATTGAAAGGGTCTTTTTACTCATTTTTTTTTCTTGTATTCTTAAGACATAAGCACCTACATGTACAGTTAATTAGGGTGCCAACATAAAAATGCTAAAATACTCACACATAATGAGAACTAAATTCATCCTATAACATCTAGGTAATGCAATAATCGACAGAGTTGTATATAATTTCGGAAAATAATTTTAACAATGATTTCTAAGTATCACCTTTGTAAGTATGCATTAGTTGTTTTTAGTAAGTGCTGAAGGGAATATCAACAGTGATTTTCAAGAGCAATTGTTATATGTTCACCCAACTTGCAAACAAAACTCTGAAATTATAAAGTTACAGTTGTTCATGCTTAATTAAGTTAGCTTTGATAACTGCAAATTACTCCTTCATAGGTAAATATGTATCAAATGTTTTAAAAATGTAAATTTACACAAACACTGTCCTTTGCTAGAAAGGTTCTCAGTTAAAAGCTATGGTGTTAACTACATCTCATCACTGAGACACTTGAGCCCCAGGGTAGTACTGGCCACAGATTCCCTGCATTGCTCTGGGAAGTGCTGTTTTCTTCATTAAGCACTGAACCGCAAATTCACCTTTCGGAAAAGAATGAAAGCTAGAAGCCAAGTTGCACTATCTAGTTTTCTAAAACGAATTAGGGTTTAGGATTTCACTGGGAATGACCACGTTATCAAGATGCCATCGCCCTCTCGAGGCATTTAATTACAATTCCTTCTCTGTTTTCCATTCAATCACTAGAACCAGACACACAAAAAGTTGGGTTTCCCCGTCTTGGTGAAAAGTCTCCTCTGGGTGCAAACCCTGGGATCCTGCATTCATTTACGCAGAAAGGGCAAAGGGAAAGAAAAGCAACGATTGTTAAGACAACTTAGTGACATTACCTTGCCCGTCTTGTGATCAAACCAGACGAGAGCATGGTTCCTGGACAGCACTTTGCAGTCAAAGGTAGCATTATTCTGCGCTGGTCGACAGCGGGCCACGGAGCGGCCAATTTTAATGGGCTCGTCCAGGTAGACATGACGCTCCTGAAACGGGTGTGAGTTCGGGCGGCAAGTGAAGATGGCCAAGGCTGACGGCATCGAGGACAGACTTGGGGGTGTCTCTCCTACCAGGGACAAAGAGGAGTTCCACCGGATCCGAGTTGCCCTTCACAAGCCTAGACCCCCTTATCCCACCCCAAAATTTTAAATTAAAGCAAACTGTACATTGTCTAAGCATAACCAGTGAACATCAACAACTCTTCACTTGGGTGGGAAGACAAGCCAGCGCAAGCCCCATCACCTCCTTGAAAACCCAGCAGCGCCTTGATCACCCAAAAGTCCCCAACTGGCGGCTTTCAGTCCATCTTCTTCCCTGGGAAGTAAAGGCTCAAACATCGGACAGCTTCGGCCCAGAAAACTCCTGGAAGACAGTTTGGGGGCTGGAGGTATCCAAGCAGATGAGTCACACGCCAATTCTTGTGTTTTGTTTGGGATCGTGGCCGCTTTTCCCCCTCGGTGGCGGAAATGTTGCAGCACTGCAGCATGAAGGAAGGGTCGGTGCGGCCAGAAAGGTCCTTGCGGGCGGAAGAAAGGTGTAGCTGAGCACCCCTGGGCGGCCACCGCCCGTCCTCGAGGGCCTCGGGAGTGGTGGGACAAGGCGATGGAGGAGGCGGCGGAGGGCTCTAGACGGCCAGCGGGACAGTCTGCATTGCCCCTGCTGCGCGGAGGCCGCCCGGGAGGTGGCACCGGGTGCCCGGACCGCCCGGGCTCAGGCGGCGGTGGCTGGGGTCCTTGGCACGAGGAGCTGGGGTCGGCGGGGGCGCGGGCAGCGGCCGAGGCGGGACTCCCGGGCACCTGGCGGGCGTCCCCGCGACCAGGGCGGAGATCCGGCTCCGCAGGCGGGTGCGAACCGATCAAGGCGCGACCCGGAGAGAGGCTCCGGGATCTTGGGCCGCAGGAAGTTGGTCCCTGGACGCCTGGGCTCCCGGCTGCTGCTCAGCACACCGGTCGCCTCTTCTCAGGGTCGCCCCCGCGAGGGTCGCATCTCAGGGGCAGCAGCCGAAGCTCCAGGCGGACGAGGAGGTGGGGGAGGGAGGCTGGCCCGGAGATTGGGGGAGAGGCCTGGAGGCCCCGGGTTGGGTCCGCCGCAGCCTCCACCACTCGCGGCCGGTGGGACACGCTCAGGCTGTGACCGACGAGGCAGGAAACTTTCCGACCTGAGGGGGGAAAACATCAAAACAAACGGCCGTCAGGCGCCGGTGCCCGCCCGCCTCAGCCCTCGCTCCTCTCAACCCACCCCAGCCAAACCCCGCGACTGGCCACAACCTCGGCCGACCTCTCTGCGGACAAGCTCAGGGGATTGGGAGCCCGGACGCCACGACGGGTCCACCTTCCCTTGCCGCCGCCGCCTCAGCTTACCTTGCCAGCGCCAGCCGCCATAGTGACTCTGACTGAAACCTACCCGGTGCACCGCCACGGGAACGCGCACCCTTCAAGGGCCCTCCTACCCCCTCTCCCGCGCCGTAGTCGGGGTGTCACGTGACCGAAGCCGCGGAAGCCATATTGGTCAAGGGCAGAAAAGAGGGCAAGCCAATTTTTAACAAGCCTCCAAACGCCATCTTAGTTAAGGGTTAGACGCTTCAAAACCGTGGGGCAACCTTTATTACCATTTTGGTTAAGGGCAATAAAAATTTTTTTGACTTGTTGAAGGTTTTCTAAACGTAACTTGCCAACTTCCTACTTTACCATCCTGGTAAGAAGGCGCCTGCTTTTCCTAAATTTTATTCACTATAGTCCTCGTTGAAAATACCAATGAGCAAGGAGGACAAACTCATCCGAAGGAGATATTATTAGCATCCATCTTAGCTGTGGGCAACACAGCGCCCCCCCCCCCGCCCCCCACAGCTGCCCTAGGTGTGAGCAATTAAATTCCCACAAGCCTTAGGATTTGTGCATCTAAGGTCCATTCTCCCTTTGCTAGGTATCCTGCCTGGAGGAAAACCCTGCATTCCATTTCAAATGACCTTACTGTAAACTGGGCCTATCTTGTCCCCCTGGCTCCTAACTCCGATTCTACCCCGGAATGAGTGTTCTATCAGAAAAGTTAACATCACGTTGCTTCCAGAAAGAGGTCGAACAATTTCGAATATGAAGAAAGGGGTATTTCCTGCACTCAAAATAGTAAGGTAGATAAGGAGTCATTAGTCTCAAAAGGGAAAGATTTCGCGAAATCTAAACGAAAATTTCAAGAAAAAGATAGAAGAAATGAGCCATACTCATTTAGAATCAGTGATGACTTCATTCTTAAGATTCCTTTGACAACAGGCTTCACCACTATGTGACCTTGGGCACATTTCTTAACCACTTCAAGCCTCGTTTTGTCATCAATTACATAGAGATAATACTTAACTCACCTGTTGTGAGAATTCAAGGTAGTAATCCATTTGCTCATAAAAGAGTAACGACAGTGCATTTCAATTCGTATATACAGAATTGAGGCCTGGTCCCAAGCTCGGTCCTGAACCCTGGAAACACAGGTGCATAAAACCTCAAATTTTTCTTCTGAGATTGCACCTGAGTACTATGAGATAGGGATGGGGAGAGAAGGGTGACAAACAGAGGTAACTTCACTTTGAGGTAGTCAGGGCTAAGCAAGCACTAAGTGCTAAGGGAGTCAGAGATGGTCTTCCATGGGAGGTAACTGCACTGAAAGAAGGATGGCAGGAAAGCCACAATAAATGTAGTATTTGATGAATGGCTTCATAAGTTTCCAGGGAGAAAAAGAATAAGGCTCTTTGAAACAATAGGCCAATATGCCTGGCACATATTAGTGACTAAATAAATATTTGATACATGATTGAAATGTACATACAGTTACTAATTATTACAGGATAAAGTATTAGAATATGTGTTAGATTATAGAAGATTATAAGGACCTTGTATGCTTTTCTAACATTCTTCACTATTTCACCAAATATCTACTGAATTACTACTGTGTTCCTGGTACTGTATTTTGAAGAAAAATAAGGGTGTGTTGAAAAGTTTTAATATAAGAGGATGAAATTTTTTTCATTTGTAGTAACTTTTAGGCTTTTGTGGAATAAAGTAACATAGGACTCTCCACATAACCCTAATGAGTTCTGTGCATGAACATGTAAGTCACTTAACTTACAAGTCTTTTCATTCATTCACTCAATAAATTTTTAATTTGAAGGTGGGAAACAGCTACTGCCATAGGCCCTGGAAATACAGCAATGGAAAGAAAAAAAAAAAGACTCCCTTCAGTTGTTCAATGATTTAGGTGATGACACATTACAATAAGATTCTTGCTGTAATGAATTTATCAAGGATAATGGGAGCATGTAGAGTAATTAACCTAATGTGAAAAATTAGTAGGAATCAGGATTTCCCTAGTGGGCCAGTGGTTAAAAATTCTGTGGTCCCAACACAGGGGAACCCGAGTTCAATCCCTGGCCAGGGAACTAGATTCCACATGCCACAACTAAGAGTTCATGTAAGCATAAGGAGAGGTGGTCAAGAAAGAAGGACATAGAAAAGCAGTTTCAGTTGCTGAAGGACTTGCAGGCAATGAATGCAGTGGTCTTCAGAATATTCCCACCTTTCTCCTGGAAGACCAAAGTAGAATCATGAAAATCAAGGTTTCAAAATCAGACACTGCATCACCATTTAAAAGCACTGTAAATTATAAATTATTTAGCTTCTCTAAGTTTCAATTTCCTCATTTAAAAAATGTAGATAGTACCCCACAGTCTTAAGATTAAAAAAGATAATGTTGGGATAAAATAAGATAATGATGCCTAGAAAATAGTAGATGCTCAAAGAAGGTCAGTTTCTATTATTATTACTAATATTAAGAATTCTTATATTACTCAGCCATTAAAAAGAATTCATTTGAATCAGTTCTAATGAGATGGATGAAACTGGAGCCCATTATACAGAGTGAAGTAAGCCAGAAAGATAAAGACCATTACAGTATACTAACATATATATATGTAATTTAGAAAGATGGTAACGATAACCCTATATGCAAAACAGAAAAAGAGACTCCGATGTATAGAACAGACTTGTGGACTCTGGGAGAAGGCGAGGGTGGGATGTTTCAAGAGAACAGCATCGAAACATGTATATTATCTAGGGTGAAACAGATCACCAGCCCAGGTTGGGTGCATGAGACAAGTGCTCGGGCCTGGTGCACTGAGAAGACCCAGAGGGTTCGGGTGGAGAGGGAGGTGGGAGGGGGGACCGGGATGGGGAATACATGTAAATCCATGGCTAATTCATTTCATGTATGACAAAAACCACTGCAATGATGTAAAGTAATTAGCCTCCAACTAATAAAAATAAATGAAAGAAAAAAAAAAAGAAAGAAAGGTTAAAAAAAAAAGAAAGGTAAAAAAAAAATAATAATAATAATAAATAAATAAAAATCTTTTCTCCTTAAAAAAAAAAAAAAAAAAGAATTCTTCCAGCCTTCCACATACAGTAAGAGGCAAGTTGTATTATCTCTAATTTGCATATAGAGAAATGTATTCAGAAATGTGGAAACAAAACATATCTCTTTATGTTCAATTCTACTACAGTCTCTTAAAATGAATGTTAAACAAAGAGAATACGCTTTTCCACATTTTTTTTCCCAAAGAAACGCTGGGACTGCTATAACCTGGAAGGGTAGAGAATCTTATGAAGCTATGGAGGGTGCTGGAAATGCTAAAATGGCATTGAAAGCGTTCTTCACCCCATGGTATTTAGTAGGCACAAAAAAGGCTTAAATTAAGACATCTCAAACATGAGATATTTTGAATTCTCAGCCACGTGGGTGTTGCTCTCTCTGATTCTGTATCCATACAATATTTTAATTAAATAAAAAGCATGTTATGTTTTGAGAAATGTGGAATGATAGTATTTCCCAATGAGGTAGCTTTCTCTTCCTCTTTTATTTTTACTTTTTAAATAAACTGATCATTACTGCCACTGCTATGATCCATGCTACTTTTCAATCTAAGAAAAAGAAAGGAAAAACTGCAAAATTATTTCCCTAGTACCATGAAATATAGGCAATTATTAGCATTTCAGATGTG